AAAAAAAAAAAAAAAAAAAAAAAAAAAAAAAAGTACATAGGAAAAAACGTAAAAAAAGAGAAAAGTTCTCATTATAAAAAAAAAAAAAAAAAATGAACATTCAGAAAGAGGCGAAAAATGGAAACACAGGAAAATACGATCACGCCAAAAAGGGAAACAAAAATAACAAACAAGAATGTTACTCGACCAATTTAATTAAAACAGATGATAAGGTTAACATGCTTAAAAATAATACTAACGAAAATGGGTGCTCTGAAGAAATTGTGAGTGAAAAACTCAAAGTCAATATTAATCAAAGTGTGTTAAAAGAAGGCACAACAACACCAATTTTTAAAAACGATAGGGACACGACAGAGGATGCGAAGAAGAAAGGCAATGGGGAGGTGCATTATAAAGGCAGTACCCGTGACGCAGATGGTTCCCCCGTAAAGACTAGCACAGAAGGGGTCGTGCATGATAAGAGCAAGGGTAGTGTGTGCAACCATAATAATGTCGCGAACGGGGCAGATAATGATTATCAACATGGTCGTGTCGCATGGGGTTGCACAAACAATGACGGAAGGGATACAACGCAAAGCAGCAACCGAGAATTGGACGAAAGAACAAATGTTGAGACATTAAACAAAGTGTTACCCAAAAGTGAAGTAAAAAAAAAACACTACAGTAATTTGTTGCCAAACAGAAATTGCAACGATGATGATAAGTGTAACTTGTCTCAAAATGTTAAGAAGGTGCCTCCTAGCCAAGAGGAAAAGGAGAAATTCGAAACGAGTCCTGCAACATGCAAAAGGAAGAGTGTGGGCAAAGACCCCCCTGCGAATGACAAAAGGGGTTCTGCGTCCAAAGGGTGCAATGGCGACAACAAACCAGTTGACACTTCAGTGGAAGCGCCCCCGTTTAATACCCCTCAAAAGGGTAGCAATAATGACGAGAAAGAGGCGCAGTATGTCAAAATGGAGAGCCGTATAAGCTCCAAACAAAATAATGAAAAGACTGAGAGGACTACGAACGAAAATGGAGCAATGGGTGAAGGAGCGAAACAGGGGGAACCGATGCCTAGGGACAACATAAAGCAGAGCAAAAATGCCAATATACATAAAAATAAAAGCGTTGTGAAGGATAATTTAGACGTAATAACCAAGGGGGATGGAAACACGGAACGGGGCCCAAAGGATGATCACCCGAATGATCATATAAACTCCAGTGTGAAGAGAACACCGAGCGGGAGCAGCAAGAAGACTTACCCCTTTAAGCGAAGCGAGCATCAAAAGGATAAAGAAAACAGGAATGAAGAGACAAGCAGCAATAACGTGATGAGCCAGAAAAATGGAAATTACAAAAAGTTCCCCACATTCAATAATTCCAACAACGGGGCATCCTTTAAGAAGGAGTTGAGAAAGAAAAACCCCAATATTGGGAGCTGCAACAGAAAGAGTGAGAACCACAAAAATTTTGGCCACAGTAAGAGAGAACAATGTTGGAAGATCTGTAGAGACAAAAACGAGGATTGCAACACCACAAGTGGGGACTATTTTAAAAGCGGAGAGAATTACAAAAGGGAGGAGAGTTACTCTCCTGGGGACAATTCCCCCAACAGCAGCAACAACAGTAACGGTAGAAGTCATGAGCCACATAGGACAAATGAAAGGGGCTTCAAGAATAGCAACCCGCGCACATGTAGGAACGCAATTAACGGGGGATACAAAAATGTTTGTGGCAAGGCCCAAATGGATAACTCCGCAAAAGTGGACGATAATTTCCACAACGCAGGTCATTATAAAATGAGCAATTACAAGAATCACTATCGTAACGGCAAAAATGAAGATACCACGGGAAGCTCCAACAGGTATGGGGAGAAAAGCGGCAGCCAAGATCAAGGCGTGTACTGGACGAACCAGAATGAGCAGCACGAGCGATACGAACAATATGAACCGTACGAACAAAATGGAAAAAACGAAAGCCTAAATTTTAGAAGAAAGAATTTTAAGAACAAAAAAGAATCAACGGGCGTGAAGCAGCAGGACACGCGATTTCACGCGACGGAAAAATACCCCAAGAAATACGACGCGAATTATTTTGAAAGAAATGACAGCGCCAATGTCGGTAACGATAGCGGTAGTGCTAACAAAAAAAAAGTAAATTCTTCTCTCAAGAAAATACAAAGTACTAATTATAGTAAACACTCACCCATTAATGGCGATACAAAAGGGAAGGAAAGCAACGGGTATGATGAAAATGATTCCACTGATGTGTGTACAGAAGGAGATGCGAGTGTTAATAGCACGGAGTTGGTGGACAAACAAATCATACACACGGTCAACCATACTTCGTCATCTAGCACGTACCACAATAGTGGTGAAAAGACTCATAATCATATACCCCGTGCTGGTAAGAAAAATAGCATTGTCATGAGTAGTCCTTCACACCAAGGTAATATTAACCAGGATAACAAAGACTATCATAAGCATACACATACCAATTATGGTAAGAGGAACCCAAAGAGGAGCATCACCGCTGGTGGTAATTCTGATCATATGAAAAGCGAAAATAAATGCAATTTTATCCCCAATGCGGATATGAGCGATAGTGGTCGAAGCAAGTTGAATAACAGTGGCGAAAAAGATGTAATGAAGGGCATAAGGACAAAGGAATACAAGACGAGGGATTACGGAACCCTGGAAGGAGAAGGACACGGTGCACATGTAAAAAAAATTGAACGACGAGCGAAGCATTTTACTGCCCATCCGGGAGATTGCACAAAAAGTCATGTAGCAACAAACGGGAATGAATATCACCACGCAGCAGGGAATGGGAATGTGAAGGATCAAACAAACTCACAACAAGGTGAGAAAGATAAGAACCCCAAAAATGGAGGAAAGCAAAACCATTCGAATGGCCCAGAAAATAAAAGGACAATGTTGTCCCAGAAAATAGATCAAAGGAGCAGCAATGCGGACGAAGTAACCCCCACTTTTAATTTTAATGAGTTCGAGTGTTGGATGAGTGGCAGATATAATAAGCTGTTAGACACATACATCGATCAGCAGAACAGGAAAAAAAACAACAGTGAAATATTTGAGGATGAAATAAAAGTATACGAATTGTGTTCAGCTTACACCAATAGTGGTGTGGAAAAGGAAAGCCATGAGAACCTCTCCCAAATGACAGAAACGTTAGGAAGCCGAGACACCACTGAGGAGGATGGTGCAGGAAGTAATGAGAACGCAAATGTTCAAACGAACTCGGATATTGCAAATGAAAGGGAACTGGTGATTGAAGGTAAGGGCCGGTTCTCCACTCGAAGAAATAAAGGAGAACATGTAGACCACACTGCGGGCGATAATTATAAGAGTGGAAAGAGTAATTATTTCCCTGGTGCAAAAAATCATATGCATTTATTAGATAGCAGCGCTGCCCATGAGGGGGAAAACATGTACTACCAAAGAAATAATAATTACCGCCCAAAACATGAGAAAAAGCCTTTGCAGTTTCTCCATAAGAATGGTCCACAGAATAATAAGGCACCATTTTTGAGTTCTTCGAGTAAAAAATGGGATAATTTGGGTAGAGCAGGAGGGGAGGAAGTGGTCGAAAATGCGATAGAGGACGCAAAGTTGGAAGGAAAGCTGGAAGAAAATACAGACACAAACGCCGAAAATAACGCCAACAATAACACTGGTGCAAACGTCACGCCATCTGTGAAAAAATACAGCGCGCACAATAAGAACAACAAGGGAGAAGAAAAAGCCGGCGACGGAAATTTCAACAGAAAGAACTACTATGCAAAAAGACAATCGGGAAAAGGGTTCGGCAGCAGCAACATAACCACTAAGAAGCTCAGTAGCAGTAATGGGTTTCACAAGAATAAGTATCACGCTGGAGACCACAAGAATGACTACATGAAAAATGAAATGAACAACGCGACGTTTTATAAGTCGAATAGGCACACGATGGGTCAACACAATAATAAGAGGAACAACTGGAGCGCGAAATTGGTAAACGACCGATTTGGAAATCGGTACGAAGAACCCTTCCGTGAGCAACTCAATGAACGGTTTAGTAAGCAAAATAATTCAAACGACATGGACCACACGAGTGGCATGTTTTATGCTTCTAAAAACAGGATAGACAAGCATGACATGCTACGAAATGAAATGGGTACCGCCTCTACACATAATTCCAATCCAGCTGGGAATAGTAGGAAATCGAACTGAACATATTTAACAACAAAAAGTGAAGGTGCCAAGAATAGACACCATGAGTGACTGATGGGTATGTAGAGGAACCCCTTGCTAATATGAACAAATCATCTGAACGGATAAATGTGCGTAATACTAATTTGTGTGTAGGCACATTTGGTATGTAGGCACAATTAGGATAACTGCGACATGGAAGTGTAATTTGTGAGTTTAAAAGGTAACTGGTAAGTTTGCCCACGTTGATGGCTATACCCAAAGGGAGGCCTTATTCTGTCGATTAATTTAACATACGCCAATTTTGGATATTCCATGAGGGGAACCGATCCCGCACTCACATAAATGACAGCATAGACATAAAAATGGACAGGGATAGCGTAGTGTTCACAATTTAAAAATGTGCTAATTAAAAAGAGGGAGAAAGAAGAAATCGCAACCGTTTAATAGCTGCCCGTAGTTTTTTACATCCTAGAATTTTACCCCCAAACAAGAAAAAGAATTACATAGTTATTGGGAAAACGTACATAAAGACTTTTTACTTTAGTTAGTCCCCCAAAGGAAACGCTACTAAAATTTAAGCTTGCCAAAAGGTATTTTTTTTTATTTTTAAATCTTGGCTATTCATAATTTTTTTTTTGTTTTGTCATTATATACATGTTATTTTTCATTCCCCTTATGTGTTTATCCATTTATTTATTTATCGATTTGTGTGTAATTTTTCTTTTCTCTCTTTCGTTTTTTTCTGCCTTTTCTTGTTCTCTATTTTTTTGTGCATTTTTTTTTTTTTTTTGTTTTTGTTTTTGTCCTTGTTTTTGTTGTTCTAATGCCCTCCTGTTTAACTAATTTTTTCATAGTCCTACGTTTTTTTTTTTTTTTTTTTCCCCATTGCTGTCATTACAACTATGGGCACATGTCATGTATTACGCCATGAATATTTAGGCCTGTATACATGTATTTTTTAAATAAGCAAATACTACGCAATTTAGAATTATTTTTCTTAAACACCAGTAACAAGGAGAATAAAACTTAAATGCCTTTTTAATAAAAATAATCCGCCCCACATAGTAGTCTGAACAGCAAGGTTTGTGCTACGCTGTTACATATTTTTGCCTGAACAAAAAAAAAAAAAATAATAAAATAAAAAAAAAATAATAAATAAAATAAATTAATAAAAAAAAATTAATTAATAAATAAATGCTACAAGGAGCACACACATGTGTGAGGAGAAATCATGCGACATGTGCCAAAGTGAATAAAGTCCAAGGAAACCGCTTTGTGCGCACAACCCCCGTGTGGCCAATCTTAAATATGTAATTATTTTATTTGGCTGAATAAAATATCGTAACGCAAGTCTTAAAACATTGCACTTGCGAATATTTGAAAAAACTTGGCTTATAAAGGTAGGACATGGAAAAGTAAAGGAAATTAAAAGAGGGAAAAAGGAAAACACTGTGCTTAATTTGTTTAAATGGTTAAACTAAATTGAAGATATATTATGAATTGCTTATTACACATTTGAGTTTTTTTAGGGTGTTAAGTTTACGCGCATTATTTAACTTCTTTTCGTTTTTTTTTTTTATTTCAACGCTACTGTAACTAAAACAATTTACAGATATTTTTTACCTCCATGAAGAAACTACGCCCTCGCCATCGCACATAGTGGAGTAAGACAAATAGGGTACACAATTATTTGCACAGACAAGGAGAAAATTCGTAGCTAACGTGTACAACAATTACCAAACCATACGTGTGCACAAAAAAAAGGTGCAGTTATACTGGGTAAAGGCCAAAGACAAATGCAAAGATACGCAAGGGGGTGGGGAATAATTAAAAAAAAAAGCACGGTGAAATGGATCATATTACAACACATAATAAATGAATTCTTTTGCAAAAAAGGGTTCAGTGTATAACGCCATTAAGAATTCACTAAACCTCGATTCATTTGTGGAAGTAACCCTGATGTGAACTCTGCAAGAACCACTGAAAGTTCAATGCAAGTTTGTCATTTTATTTTTATTTAAAAATATCTCTGAAGAATAATGGAAAATTATATCAAAATAAACGACACGCTATTTGTGGACCTGAATAACTACCACAAGCAGGTAGACGAAGCGGAAGACTTAAACATTTTCGAAGGCAACTATGTGGAAGGGGGTGCCAATTACCAACATGACGCGGAAACCAACAACAAAGTTGAAATAAAACGCTATGTGGACATTTTTGTCGAGCTGGTAAAGGATAAACATGTCAGTTATGATATTTCTAAAAAGTTTAAGGACAGCAACTTAGACATTGTTAGGATTATTCAAGCTATTAATAATTCCCATGTGAAGGAGAAGGAGGAATTGCATTTCACAAGGCTGATGATGATTATATGTTTAAAGAATTACATTTTTCATTATGTAAATAAATATTTAAAGAACATCATAAAGGACTACGAGAGGAATAAATACAAAAAAGAAGTAAAAAACATCGACTGCTTGATATATAGCAAAGGCAGTGGGGAGATATGCAAGGACACATGGAACAGTGGCCAACAGGATTTGGAAGACAAGACTTATTTACACAATGGAGGTGACAACTTTCTGTTCATTAAATTTTTAAGTGAAGATATTTCCAAAAATTTTGAGTTGCTGGAAAATGGCGACAATGCCTCGAAACATATTAGTGAAAAAGAATGGGTATATTTGAAAGGAAAAATTTTGCTCCTAATTAAAAATTCGTGTGTAATTAACTGTAATGGAAGCAAAAAGTTTGCCACCTTGGTGGAGTTCATTAACAACAACATGTATAGATCTTTTAAAAGGCACAAAAGCATCGTAGAAATGAAGAAATTTAACATATGCTTATATTTCATTGACATATTTTTTAACCTATTTTTGATAGATTACCCCTTTAAGTGGGGAAATTTACTAGGAGATATTTTCAGCACCTTTAATTTTATTTCTATTTATAATAGTAACGATTTAGCGAATGCAATAAATAGTGACTACAACTCGACATTGTGTTGCCTAAACGATTTGATAAAGTGCGGTGCTGCACCTAGTCAAATGGAGAATATGAAACAAGGGGGGAATAACGGAGAAAACAACACCCATAGGGTGGTCATACATTTTCAAAACTTCTATTCCCTCATGTTTTTAATGAACAAAATGGTGAAGAAGTACATCCCGAGGACACAGAATAACCATTCGTATTCTGTGCTATATCACAGTTACTTCATCTCGCATATAAATGGTAGCAATAAAGATTTCCTGGAAAATGGAGAATATAGCGCTTTAAAAATACCATGTGAAAATTTGTTAGCAGGGTTTAAGGATATAATAAAAATATTCTTCCCCCTTTTTAACCGACTATTATGTACTTTGTTGAATTGGGTGGAGAGTAGTATATACGTCGTGTTTATGGTGAAGAAGATCGTTAAATTTTTATATAAAACATTGCTATGCCATTTTAGCAGCTTGCCAGAAGAGTTAATCATGAACGAACTTGAAATATTATTCACAAATATAGTAAATATATTAGACATTGATTTGAATGCTTACGTACATAAACTGTATTTTACTAACACGAATGAGTCCTGTTCTAAGGGATCCATATCGGTTGCCAAAATAACAGAAGAAACATCATACGAAAATTTAAGCGAACTTATTCATAACAAAGATGACAATGTAGATAAGCTATTCTTAATCATCCTGCTGAAGTCGAAGAAGTGGTGCTTGAAAATTTTAAATATGTTTTTGTACAGATCCATTTACTTCGAAGAAATGAATGAGACGTGGAAATCGTTGCTAAAACATTTCGAAAATAAGTACATAATATTCCTCGAGAAAATTGCCCTTCTCATTTTGAAAGCTATTATGAATACGACTTACACAGACGAGGAAAAAATGAATTATGACAAATTAATCTGTTACATTAGATACGTGGTAGACTTTACTGACTACTTGAATTTCGCTGATAAGTGCCTGTCTTTATCGCTGAACTATCTTTGCATGATAGTTTCCTTCGACCATTTGCAGGTGTTCGTGAAGCAAAACATTTTGAGCGAGGCGTTTTTAGGCTGTCTCTTCGTCCATATTGGTAGTAGTTCCCACGTGGAGTGCGTCGACGTAAGCATGGAGTGGTACCCTGCCGCCTCGCGCGGAGGTGGGTACGCCATTGCGTACGTTTGGGTGTATACGTTCGTGCATACCCTCGCGTATAAATCTCGTGTGCCGCTTACCCATATCGCCCCTTCTCCCCCCCCTGTCAGAACTTCTTTACGAACGGATGTCCACAAAAGGAAGAAAGCCTGCTATTTGACAATCTAAAGTTCGAGAGGTACATCATTTGCTTCCACAAAATTCCGCTGTACCGAAAGTACCTGTCTGACTATTATGACGACACGAAGTCGAAGAACGTGTTGAAGAAGTATGTCAATTACATCATTTTTTTGTTTTGTGAATTGTTGGATAAGTACTTTTACGACATCATATTTTACTTAGATGCAAATGTGAAGGAGCACTTGCGAACTTGTTTAGTTATTCAGAACGAGTACATGCACGTGCTTTACCCTGACATGTTTGTGAAGAAGGAGATGGACTTCTCCAAAGACGTAGTGGAAATTAGCTGTTATAAAAAGAGTAATCTTTTAATTAACGCAGAGATGTGCATGAGAACAAAGAATCACAAGATATACATAAACAGTGTGATATCCTGCATTTCTGAAATCATTCAGAAGCACATGAGGGAAAATGACATGCAGGACAAGGTGGACATTTCTTTATTTAATTTATTAAACAGTGACACATTTAACAGCTTGATTTTTATCATAAATAACTTGCCATTGTATAAGTATTCGCAGGATGAACTCATTTTTAAAGATCTGTACAGCATGCAGAATAAGCACAACTTAAACTTGAGCAGTTTAATCATGAACGACATAAATTTGTACAAGTATTTTTCCCTGTTTATGTTTTTAGTGTACTACAAATGGGTGTTTATCATGAAGGTGCTGCGTGGCGTCATAGACGAGGGGGTGTTACTGGGTGGGCACGGAGTTCCCACGTCTGTAGCGTCTGGAGAGTCTGGCACATTGCCCACGTGTGTCACTACCCAGACGGCTTCCATGTCCCCCAATATTGGCGGTACCCCCGGCGATCCGGATGATGGCCCAACTATTCGTGAGAGCGAAGACTTGACGATCGACGATTACATCGAGGAGTACTGCAAAAACAGGAAGAAGTACAAAACGCACTTTAGTAGTGATGAAAAGGAAATGGAAATGTTTGACCAGATTGTAACCGATTTTAAGATGAGAGATAAGTCCTTTTTTCTTAACTACATGCTGGTTAACATATTTCACCCGTATTCGAATAATCTGAAAAGAGTAATCATGTGGATGTTAAAGGAATACAGTAGCATGACCAGGTTCAGCGAAAACGTTTTGCAGTTCTTCTTTTATACCTGTTTCATAAATCTGTTTCATTTTGAGAAGCACTTAAAATTTAAGTCATTCGACACCCTGATTAATTTAATGTACAAGTATGGGATTCCCAGGCAAATTTTCTACAATGACTTTAGAGAAATTTTCACATTTTTATTTTTCCAACTGTTAATTTTGTTCATAAAAAATGAGTCCAATTCGCATGACAATGAGTTTTATGAAGACAATGTGAATGTCCTTCTGAGTCCGAATTACGAGAAGAGATACTTTTTGAGCTACCTAACAGGGGAACATAACCCCCTTTGCGATTACACATGGGATAAGACAAAAATGTGCAGCAGTTATATGTACAACCAAGTGAACTGCTTCACGGACTTTTTTATCAATGATGTGTTGTATCATAATTTTCAATACTATATAGAAAAAATGGAGGTGAGGCATTTAAACCAGTTTCTAAATTTTATATCGTTATTTTACCAAAACGAGATAAACAATAATATTTTTTTGTTTATCAACTTGCTGAACGAGTCTTTATTGGACACCACTTCGTCGCACATGTATGGTAGTGACAAAGAGCATTCTTCCTTTTTGAAAGCCTTGAAATTTTTTTCCTTTTTTCTGGAACATTACAAAAATGCTAGTAGTACACAGGATGTGCTCATAATAAAAGTACTACAGGGGGAAAAATTCATCGCGTACTTTAAGAATATAGTGAGGAGGGTTAAGAAGAATCAGGTGTGTGAGGAAATACTAAACGAGATATATTACGTACTGCACATTTTTACGAAGAATTCTCTATTCAATTATAAAATATTTTGGTTTTATTTTTTGTATTCTGTGGCGTCCATTTCGAAGAGTTTAGATATATTTCAGCTGAGGGAGATAACCAAGTTGGAAAAGGTGGCGAACATTCCTGTGTACCTATTTCAATTTTTCAGCAATGTGATAAGGAGGGATGTTCTTTACTTCTTCTTTTCTTTGGCGGAGGAGAATCCATTCAGTGCGAAATGTTTGAACATTTCTCTGGTAGAAATTTTTCGAAAAATTAGTTTGTTACTAATTCTACTGTCAGAAGAGAACTTAAATGAACAGCATTTTTGTAACAATAGCACTTTGCATATATGTGGGTTGTATTTGTATAACAATTTGCTGTTCTACCTATTTATGTTGCTCGTTAAGAATAAAATATTTTTTACGTACCTATTTTGGGGCAAATTGCAAAGAGCGTATGACCTGCTTCAGGAGGAAGACGGTGCAGAGCTGAGCGATATGGACGATGTCGTTTCAAATTATTCATTTAGTAAGTTTGACGAAATGAGTGGCACCAGCAGGGATTGCAACAATGGTGAGTTTGTTTTTCTGGACGATGACTTTTTAGAAGGTAATTGCGAAGAAGGCGCGGGCTACGGCGTGGGCGACGCGTCGGAGGATGACCCAGATGTGGATGGAGGGGGGGGCATATACGTCGATGTGGACGAGGAGGAAAATGAAAAAAATGTAAACACGGGTGAAGACGTGATGAAAAACTACTCAAAGAACCCGAAGAGTCTTTCGAGCGACATGTCATTTCAGAGAAGCGATATGAACGACAGCATGTATGAGGCAGGGATGAGTGGCGAAGGTTGGAAAGGGGAAGTTCTTTTCTACAAGGAGATGAAAAATTATTTTCTTAACAAGAAGAAGAAATTAAAAAGAAGGAGGAAGAAGAAGAATAAGGAAAGGAATATTATAAGTGATACAAGTAAGTGGAGTAATCCGAAGGGTGGTGAAACCACCAACAGCGTGCATAGTAATGTCTCCTCTCAGGGGAATATGAACAGCGGGGATGGAGACCCCAGTAAGGAAAACAAAATTGTTAAGTTACTAAACACAGTTTATTTTAATATATTTCTTTTGAAGGACAAAAAGAGGGAACACATAAAAATGTTACTAAAAACGCTGAAATGTATAAACCAGAATTTGGTTCTGAACAGTTCCGAAAATGAGTATCACAAATACACAATGTTGCTGATGTTACAGAAGAAGAGATACATTTATCAATCTCTCTCTCTGTACGTTTTTATGGACATACAGGATTTGTTCTCCATTATGGTAAGTGAAAATATATTGGGTTCCATCATCGATGAATGGTTAAATGATATATTTTATATCTACCAGAATTCGGACGACTTGAAGTATTTCATTTTTGCCTTTTCGAACATATTGATATATCTGTGTATGTATGAGCAGAAGAAAAGGGAATCGAATAGTTGCGCTGCCGGGGGTGATAAAGAAGGAGAAGGAGAAGAGGAGAAGGGTTTTGCTTTCCTCAAAAGTACCAGCACTGCGCACAGCAGCATGAACAATTTTGACACCATTTTGAGAGAAATAAAATGGGAATTTTTCGATGAATATGCCATAAGACAGTTGAAGGAAAGACTACCTCGAATTATCAACGCTGTGGTGAATGTCTTGTTGATTCTTCCTATACCGTATGAGGAAAACATGAAAATGTTTAAGAAAAATATACTTAGGAGATTAGCCCCCATTTGTGGTGAAGGAGACAACATTCAAAATAATAATTTGCTAAAATTTAACAGTGATAACAGCGCTACGGATAATTTGAGCGCGACTTTCAAGGAAATTCATTTCAACGATTTGCTCCAAAATATTGAATTCATGCATTTGAATAAGTACGAACAGAAATTTTACGAGAGGAACCAGAATTCATTAAAATTTTCCTATGACCATGTGGTTCATATTAACAAATCGGAAGACTTAATCCTTTACGATAAAAAAATATCAATCAACTATTATTTCCAAAGTAGCATACATGACGATTTTGTGAATAGGCTCGTTTCCGAGTGCAATGACGAGCATTTTAAAATAGCTTTTTACGCACGCAAAGCCTTTTCCTTACTAAATCAGGAGTTTTTTTCGACTGATGATTTGATCCGTATTCTTGGCTGCTCTGACAAGTATTACAACTTTGTGAATGTCATTCGGCTGGACATATGAAAGCCAGGAAAATAAGCAGTAAAGAAGGAAGAAAAAGAGGGCGACAGGAGCCAATTCATCGAAATGTTTTTTTTTTCTTCTTTTTTTTTTTTTTTGTGTGTTATCGCGAGGCATGCGATCTGCTATATATCTCATTTTACTTTTTATTTGAGTTGCTCATATGTGTTACGTATTGCATATACATTGTTGCAAACACGTTTGTGTAGACACCCCTTTTTCGTCGGAAGGGGCCCTCTTGTGAGGAACTGCGAAGGTGCCTAATTGGCATGTTCAAGAAAAAAAAAAAAAAAAAGATGCCTACGTTGTTGGGTGAACTTTTCAGGTGTACTTTTTGTCCGCGCTATTTACGTTGCGCAACGCGTGAATTAGTGCACAGTGTAAAAAAAAGTAAATGAGGAAAAATGGCAAGGAAAATAATGAGGAAAGTGTAGCAAAAGCAGTTCCCCTGTATAATATGCAAGCGTTAAGTGGGGGGTAAACACACACATAGCAAATTTGTACGGGGTGTAGACACCACATGTTAGGGAAAAACAAGTTCATTTTTACTAAACAGCTGGTTTGTTTTTTTTTTTTTAAAAAATAAACGGGATTTCACGCCACGCATATGTCACAAAGTTGGCCACGTTGTGCGTGAAAATTAGGCACTCTTTTCATTTTCCGATAACACTTTATTCTTTTTTTTTATCCTTGTTTGTGAATCTGATTAAGCGATACCTGTGCGCTTGTCAATTCTTTCAACTTGTTAGATTGTTTGTGTCTTCATTGTCTTTGTTGGCCTGTTGCTGCAGCCGCGCTTTGCGTAGGATGTAAGGCAATTCCGATCAGCGCTGCGGCAGCGGTTTGATTGGTGACTCTAACGATCACTTAGGCACATGCCCTAACACGCTAGCACGCTAAGACACTGAGACACTGACCTGCCGTGGAAGGATAATGCGCCGCTCAGAAGACCCCATGTGCGACACAAACGACGTGCATTCAGTGGAAAAAACGCTGGGTATGGAGAAAAAAAATTCGCTTCACATTTTTGGGACACACAGAGAACAGTCCGATAGCAAGAAGAAGCGAGTCCAATGCAGGGCTTTACAGGCGGATGGACAGTACAAGAAAGAAATTTTTCGCAAAATGAAGGATTTTTACAAAAATAATGAGGACACAAGTTTGGGTTGCGATGGGAGCCCAGATAGGGACTTTAACCTTTTTCGGGAAAACCCCAGCGGGGAAAATCCTAGTGACGAAAAAATGAGAGGGGAAGAAGTAAAGGCGAAAAATGGTTCGGCAGATGAAGAGCAGGAAGAAAATATAGCAAAACCTTTTAATAAGAGAAGGAAGACGCTGTTACACGAAGTGGCATATGCCTCATCGGAAAGTAATTCGAAAAGTAAACGCGAAGTTGGAAGGAGAACAGATGGAACAGAGCCCATTGGATGTGACCACATTGAACGGGATAATAGGAGGCTTTCACCTGAAGATGTTAACCTAGGGGAACATACTCCTACGGATAATTTAGTTCAAAGGGAGGACAAAACGGATGGTACAAAAGGGGCAATAGAACTAGATATGATAGACACTCATCCTGCTGTTAACAGGAGAAGTGATGCTTCCCCCCCTCCAAATGAGCACTCGGATGAAGAGGGTAATAAAGGGGAAAACGAATTAAACGGAGGCTGTACCGTTGAAGAAGACAGAAAAAATGCTCAAATTAGTTTTGATGGAAAGATAACTGCTCATTATGGGAATGATAAGGATGCTTTATGTCACATGCACTGCAATGGATTAGAAGTAGGAAGTGAGAGAAAGGGTAAGGACCACACCTCTGCACGGAAAAGACGACGTAGTTCTGTAACATCAGATAAGAAAAACGGAAAAAATGATTCAGCCACTGTTGATTCTTATGATATTCAAAGGGAAAATATTCCCAATAAGCGTATGCGCTATGCTGGCGAGGATAATGCGAGTATCGACACTGCAATATGTGAGGAGCAAATGAATGACAAAACGCAGTCCATACAGAAGAGGGGGTCAAAGATTGGTGATGCTAATGGTAGAAGTGAAGCCACTTTCAGAAAAGCCCTTAAGCATGTGTTCAGCGGTAACAACAGTATCGTTAAAAATAGTATTGTTGAGAAGAAGAAAAAGATTAAGAGCATTCACAACGAGATTTTGAGCCTCATTAGTGCGGATAGCCTTACAAGGAAGGGAGAGCTCATGAACTGCGGAGTGAATTCTGTAGGCACAACAGATTTATCACTTGATGAGGGGGGCGAAAGGGAGAAGCAGGTACATACAGGAGTGAATGAAAGAGAGGGAAATGGAGGAGATCCACAGGTAGACAACCACACCGGGACGTTTGCAGAGTATCAACTTGTTAGCCCGTCTGAAGAAAGGCTCATTTTAGAGGAGTACAGATCGGTGTGCTGCGATGAGTGGGGATCACTCAAAAAAGAGGTACACCAAATGGAATACGAAAATGATAGCCGTGTACAGAGAGGAGTGGAAATATATAACAAAATGGATACGTCTATGGAGGAGAGTAGAAAGGGACACAGATCAACACATGGAAGTCAAAATTGTCCTTTGGAAACGTCTTCTTTATATAATGCCGAGTTGGTGGAAAAGGGCCCAAATTGTGTGATGATCCCTCAGAAGGGAGATATTTACAAGGAGAGACTTCCACGTGAAGGGAGAATCCCATGTAAACCACAACCAAGGAGCAGCCTGCTAAAAAAGGTAAAGCTAATGTATGAGAGGGAAAAAAAAACATTGGAGATAAATAGAAAATACCTGAATAAGTATGGTTACTTTAAAATAATTATGAACACATACACTAGAAATGATCTTCTCAACATGAACGAACACGGCGTGGATTTTGACTTGTCAAGGATTTTGTTTTCACATGACATTATAAAGAAAATTAACCAAGTGAACTTCAAGACGGTTATAAAAGCTCTGGACTTTTACGGCTATCTATACGACAATACATTTTTAAAAAGGCTATCTAATAAGGTGAGTATAAACGAATGGCTATGTAATGGCATTTTTTTTCAAAAAATATTTACAAGGAAGGTGTTAAATGTGGGCATATTCTTTGACCTTGTGTATCATTTCTTGTATTTGAATCCTGCCTTTATCGATTTTTTCTTTAGCAAAAATGGGGGGAGTTTTGTAAAAAAATTTTCTCTCTATGACAAATATAAGGCGCTCAGATTAGTGAACAACATTGTTGCTCAGTTGAAGATTATTAGACCGTCTACGGAGTCGGTGGTGAAATTTCTCTTCGGTTTTTTTTCAAGTACAAAGGGAGGGGAAGAGGCAATAAGAAGGGGTAGGAAGAAGGCTTTATATAGGGGTCAACTCGGAAACAAGGACCACTCGGCGGATGTAACCGTGGGGAATGTTGCCGTGCAGGATGCGACCGTGGCAGCATGGACGGCCCCCATTAACCAAAGTAAACATTTAGTGAGGAAGCCAAAGGGATGGAAGGAAAATGCCCACGTGTATATAAAAAATACCAAGTTTAAAAAAACGGGGCTACGAAATATTTTAAATAAAATTTGGGAAAAGACGGATCTGTACGTAAAGGAGGAAGTGTATTATGGCAACAACTTTACCGTTAGGAGAAGGTTGAGAGAAAATAAAAGCTATCATTTGAAAATGCTCAACAATCTTTTATTCGAGTCTAATGACACAACGAGTTCGCGTGGCTCTTATTCATTTGGGGGCGATCAGGAGGAAGGGGGGCTGGGTTACAGCTTCGAAAAATCAGGCGAAATTAACTTTGGCATTAACGAAAAAATGAGTCAGTCGTTTCACCAAAATAGGTACCATCAGGGCAGCGGCGCGGATGGAGGTGATAACTCAGACGATGGTGATAATATAGATGGCGCTGATCATGTAGACGCAGTTGATAACGAGGACGGCGGTGATAACGTAGATGGTGGTGACAACGCGATTGCCTGCGACGAGAGGAGAGCCACCAAAACGTTTCACTCGCTGGACTGCGTGCCGAACGTATCCTTCGATTTGTTCTCGCACGAGGGGGACTCCTTCCAAAGGTGAGAAGTGGGGCGGAAATGGGCAATATTATAACGGAGGGGCAGAGTCGACAGGGAGATGGCTTCATAGAGAAAGGCCTTTTGAGTGTTCCCACAGCAGTGTGCACGCTGAGGTGTACACATCTGTATGCACACGCATGTGGTGGTGATGTGATGTGCTGCGAGTGGTTTCCCCTTGCATGGGGCCTGTGTGTACGTGCGGGGGGTGCACCAATATGCGCTTCTGATTAGCCCTGCCAATAAAGGGTATTTCTCACCATGGCTCCGCCGCAGCGTAGCGCAAATGAGTGAGGGTCACGTCATAGCTGTGGCCCATCCCCCAAATGTAACGAACAAATGCATTTCCATTTTTGCTTCCCTACTTTTGAAACGTTCACCAGGGGAGATTCCTACCTAACGATGTGTTTCAAGGAGGAAGAAAAATGTGACACCGAGAGGTATATTAAGGACCTTACTTACCTCGGAATAAGAGTTAGCTCGAAGGAAAACAAAATAAACTACTACAACTGTTTTGATGTTAATTTGAAGGTGTATTTGGAGGAATGTCTTTTGGCTGATGTAAAATATAATATTTCCAAGGAGGATGATTACACGTCTGCTTTTTTTCCTGTGTGGCCGCACAACCCTGATTTCTTTGGGTACCAAATTGGGGGGAACATAAAAAAGGAGTTCAACAAAATTAGGAAAAGCATTGCAATGAAAGAGAGAGGGGAAGTGGAAAAAAAATCGATAGGAGTTGTCCTTAACAAAATGAATAGTAAAGAGGCAAGGTGTGGTGAATACGGCACCAATTATGCAATACGCGAAAAAAAAAAAAAAAAGTTCCTTGTTGCTAACCTGTACAATGGGTTCAGTAGTGTTAAGAACAATCCATATAGGAGAGACAGCCAAGAGTGGAAAGAAGAAAAGATTCGAAATGTCGATCATATGAAAATAAAGGATTGCTGTTTTGTGTTAAGTGTAAAAATATATCCTATGCGCACACTAGCATTGTACATTCTGTATAATGCCTTATATCAGGATAACAACGCAAAGCTTGTGGAGCTGTACTCTAGTAGCTTAAACAAAGAAACGAAGGAATGGTTACTCCTCTTTCTTCTTCCCCACTTTGTAAACAAATGCATACATAAAGTTACATACCCCCTAAAATTGACAAAAAATATTTTCTCCGAATCGAATGAATTTTATGAAGACTTTTTCTCCAATGAATATTTAAAAATTAATGACATAGAGAAAATTATTATATATACAAAAAATAACAGCGATGACGACATGGAAATATGTCCCTTTTCCTTTTGTTATTTGTGGTTGAAATCTACCAAGCACAGAATTGATAAGTGGATTAGCTCCAAAATCAATGAGGTTCTTTTTACATTTCCCTTTGCGAATTTTTTACTGAGTAAATATTTTTCTAATTTTATTTTATTCATTCAGTTGTTTCATACGTGCTTGGATATAGATCACATGTATCTGTGTAAATCGCACTTTTACGTTTCTCTCAAGCATAATTTGTCCTTTCTACACGAGTCGCTTGTTAACGTTTTGTTTTCCCCGCCACAGGGGTGGTAAAAAAGAAAAAAAAAGGGGGGTGAACTCAACAGGGATAATAGAACAGGTTTTGTTTCCATGTGTATGTCTGTCCGTGTGTGTTGTATTTTGTGTAGGTACTTTTTCCGTTTGCACGTCGTTTTCTCGTTGTGTTTATGCTTGTCCTAATGGTGGCTAAGTCTGTGGGGTCTATTTGTAGATGTGTTTGTTTTTTTTTTTTTTTTTCTGTGCACCTTTCCAATCGCCTGAGGGGTACCTTTGTGCAAACGTTTGTTGACGTACCGCGGTTTCTTCCCCTTTTTTTGTAAAAGCTGTTTTAAAGGGGAATTCCTAATGAATGATACCTGCTTTCACGCTGAATGATTTATAACTTGTTTTTTTTTCCTCTTTTTTGGCAAAAAAGGGCTACGCTAGAAAACTGTGAACAGGGGGAGAAAACAACCTAAACTAACAACAGCATGTAAAAAAAAAAAGAAAAAAAAGGAGTACCACTTCGAAGTGATCTTTTTCAAACGTCCCTAATACGGAAGGGGGTAGAATTAAGATGACCCATACTGCACGTTCACACACTAATAGAGAACACACACACGTTGCCACAACGCTAGCAACTGTTGTATCTATGTTTATCATACCAACAGATTTGTCCATTCGATTTCTTCCAAATGAACACAAAAAGGAGGAAACGTGAAGGGAATTACTACCATGAGGAAATATATACCTATAAAAATGACGAAAAGTATGACGAAGAATTTTTAGATATAGATAGTAACGTACTAAAAGTGTGCGACAGAAAGGGGGGGCTACTTCGCCAACTAAATATATTGTCCCCTGGGGGGAGAAGTAATAAAAAGGGCACTAAAAGGGCAGGGAAAGGGGGAAGCCGCGGGAACAGGGTAACTACGAACATTGTGAATGACATAAGGTTCATGGACATACTACTATGTGGGGATAAGGATAGCGGAAAGACCACTTTCTTGAATTGTATAAGTTGTGTGGAGAGTTTTACATCGGGGCCAATTGATGCAAGCAGTGGAGCCGACTATAACTACACGAACCCGCGGAGGAAAAAACAAATCGTGTGGAATTACAACAGGCTGGAACTTCTGTCCTACGTGCCCATTATTTTCTCCAAACTGACAAATAGAAATTACGATGCGCTGAGAAAAACATTTAAAAAAAATTTTTTAGACACGGATATATGCCAAGCTTCTATTTTTTTAACTCGAGATGATTTGCAGTTTATTAATTACGAGTTCGGTTTAGGGGAAGATTTTAGGACTGACCATTTTGATTACTTCAAGATAAACTTCTGTGAGTACGGAGATGATTTGTTTCGCAAAATAAGTGCGTACTTTGAGATGTGTGACTATCTAGGGTTGGGGAGGGGCGCGGCGAGTGGGGCACTGGACGGCTACAATCCGTGCGAGTGTGGGGAGAGAAGCGCAAATGGGGTGTACCAGACACATCGCACGAAGGACGCAACCAACTGTAGCACCGTTATGAACATCGTAGAGGGCGCGCTTCTACGAATTAAGGAAACAAAGTACATAAGTTATTTCATCAATTTGAGGAGGACATTCCTTTTGGTTAAGTCTACTGTGCGCATGTATAGAATTCTAATGCGGAAAAGGAACAGTAAATATAGGAGGAGGGGAGAAAGAACAATCAACATTGACGTCAGCGCAGAGGGAGAGGAAGATCCCAGTGATAGTACATTTCTGTACAGGTGTGTGAACACAACCAAGTGTACATTTAAGAGAGCAAACTGCAACTCACGCAAGTCACTTTTTAGGAAGAAGAGAAATCTATTCATCACGATAAATGAGGAACATATTATGAACACATTTGAATATTTAAGCATTATAAAAAATTTGAATAACTATGATAGGAAGGACGTCCTTTTTGTAGCTAGCCGAGCATTCGATTTTGAGAAACTAAGCAAAAGGTTCCACATATACTTTAACTTGACTCACAATATGGAGATCTTCAATTTTGTTTTTAGGAGTAAAATTAATTGCGGTAACGATAACACACATTGGAATGGCAGCGATGGGGATACCCTCCCCCAAGATGATATCTACAACCTTTTAAAAAAATGTGTAAGTGAAAAATGGAAAGTTTGTAAAAGAAGGGGAAAAAGAATAACCAAAAAGTGCAACCAAAAAAGTGATGTAATTTTTAAATACCTTTCGGAAAAGAAATTACGACTCAGGGGGCATAGTCACAAAAATGAACGTGAACTCCATAGTGGAAGGAAGGAAGAGGAGATTCAAAATAACATTGGGGGTGCCAAACATGCAGAAGGTAATGATGATCAGTGGTTTGATTGTACTACATATGGGAGGAAGAACAAAAAAGTCGGAGGGATGAGGGATCTTTCCTTTTTATTGGCAGAAAGACGGGAGATAGCGAGTTTTTTTAAAACGTTCTATGACGAATATATTTACAGAAACCAAAATAGAGCTTATGTAAAAAATTTGGTGAAGGAACATTTCAACATTTGTTTTTTGTTTATTAAGTTTTGCTTCTACTATTTTTATGGCTCTCAAGGGAAGGCAGAACAAAACTGCCTGAAGGACAACAGGCTAAATATATACAAATTTGTCTACGTAAAGCAGATTGAAGTGATTCGAAAGGACAACAACCTTTCCCATTACAACATTTGTGTCCCGTCATGTGTGTACGTTTTGACTAATTTGCTAAAGATGAATTATCAGGGTACTCCTTTTCGATCTCTACGGGAGCGTAAAATGTCGTCCCTCCTCAAGTACCTTTTTTACGCTGTTATCTATTACAAATTGAGGAAAAGAAGCTATGATTTCTACAGGCGGGGTAAGATAGGGGCAAATCACATCTGCTTCTTTACTCGTGGAGTTATAATTAACTCACTGGTCGATCTGTTTGAAAGTAGGAGGGGAGATGGTGCGGCAATTTCCCATTATGGTGATTCGGGAAAAATAAAAGCTGACAGGCATAACGAGAAAGCAGCATTGGTGCCGCCACTCGATAGGAAGCGTCGGAAGAACAGAAAAATTCTAAAGGATATACTTAAGCGCATGGACATGCATATGCATATGCAACCGTTCACCGTTATAAATAGCATCAAATCCGACTGGGCATATTTTAAAAAGTATATGATCCAGTCAAGCATGTGTTCCTACTACAGCGGGGATACTGACGTATACCCTGATGTGACCTTTGAGCTTGTGCTACATTTTAAGCCGCCTCACCAGCGCGAGCGCATTCCCTATGGAGCGACGGTAGCAGCAGCACAAGCAGAGTTAGAAGCGGGAGAAGACAGCTCAGAAGTACTCCAGGCGAAGAGCATCCACTTCGCGCCAGTAACCAATGAGAACACTAAAAATAAGTTGCGGAGGAAGTCCATTTTGCACTTTCCCTTTTCACATAGACTGCTAAAATACTTCATTGATAACATACCCCCGAGGCGGGATGGCAAAGGGAGAAAATCTCACCGTCTACTCCAGCTATTATGTAATCGCTTCTTCAAAGCACTGAAAAGGTTGTTAATGTACTACTACACAGGTGAACAGTTAAAACGTAGAACAGAAATGAATCACATTTTTATTTTATTAAATTATGTCATGGATGTGTATTACCTCATGGCGTACGAGAATATGTGCTTTTACGTGGCCACACATGGAGACTTTGTCCTCACCAACGATTTACACGCTTCGGGCCAGTTGCAGGACGGTAATTCTATTGGCAGCAAAAGAAGAGTCACCTTTCACCTGTACCCAAATTGTGTGCTGTTTAATGCAGCATACTTTTTGTGGGAAGAAATGAAATATGGGGGAAAGCATGGCTCGATGCGTAAGCACCTTTCGCATTGGAAGAAGGATTTGTTTTTTTCAGTGAGTATGGCGGACTGACGAAAGGGTGAGAGTCATCATCCGTTGTGCGTGCCACTCAAACGGATCCATATGCCTCATTGGCGCAATTTTATACATGCACATGCATTTGTACGAAGCTGTGGTACGAACCTGTGCTATGGCGCTGTTACTTTTTGTACATTATGGATGCAACAGAATGGGCTCCTAGCTTTATTGCTCACTTTTTAAGGCAAAGCCAAGGAGGGCTGGACATTATAGAAAAGCGGGGAAGGCACAACATGGGAAGAAAAATTTGGTGCCACCCATGCATCGATAGGTGAATGCTCCCAGTGGAACAGTTTGTTTTTTTTTTTTATAGGAAAAGAATTTGACCCGCGTGGCAACTTCTTCACCATTTTTACCCCCTTTTTTTTTGATTGTTTTATTTATTTTTTCCGTTTTGAGAATCCACCCGGTGGAGTTAGCCCATAAAAAAAAGGCTATACACGCACGCGCGTGGTCATACATCCGTATTTCGTATACATAAGCGAATAGTCAAGCACGCACTTGCGAACTTTCCTATGTGTATCATTCTAAATGAATTGGTCTCGATCGTAGCCTCATCAGTGCAACTCGCCTTTGCATAAATCAACGGCAGGGAGTGTTACAAAAACGTGTGCTCGGTTCTTCCAGGGCTAAGTTTACACACAGGAGGCAGCGCTGTTTTGGGGCCCCAATTTTTTTTTTCCCTTCGCGGCAAATTACCACAGGGGAAGTAATTAAACAGGAGAAGCAGGCAGAAGTATACGCTGTTTTGGGGGAAAAAGAAAAGGAGGCAAAGGAGGGAGAGAATGATTTGAGCACGTTAAGCGCAACATACACATATAATGCTACTGGGGGAGGCGAATCAGGGCAGCGTGCCCCACCCCCCAAAGAGGGACTCCTTGGACAGCACAGAAGAAGGGCATAAGAGGAGGAACAAGGTCATCAACGACATTTTCCAGCTGGAACTGAAAGACATCCTAAAAGATGTTTCCAGTGAAAAAAAAATAGACGACACCATCGATTTTGTAAATGACAAAATAAACACACTAAACAATTTTATCAACGATATAGCTAAGGAGAAGTATGAGTACTTTTACAAATATATTGACCAAATGAGCAATGCGAGGAAATTAAAGAAATGGAATTCGGATGATTTAGAGGAGGTAGGGAGGAAATATAAAGCAAGTTACGAATCTCTTAGGGAGAAAAAGAACAAAGTTTTGTCTTTAATAATAGAGAAAAGGTGTTTAATTGAAATTGAGAAGGTTTTAAAATTATACCAAGTTATCCATGTAGAGGTAAAAAAACTGTGTGATGCCATGAAAGAGAAGAACATTTGGGGGGTCTCTCCAATGGATGTGATAGACATGAGTGCCTCCAAGGGAGAAGAACTATTCAATGTACATGACCTGGGTCAAAGTGCTCTCCACACGAGTGGACAGGGCATGAAGTACCCCAATCTACTGACCAATCCCGACTTTGATACCCTGGAGAGTTATTTAAAAAGGATAAGCAGTATAAAAAGGTTCATTGCGCAGCATAGTGTGGAAAATATATCCATCGTGGCGCTAAGGGTAAAAAAGATGAAGGCGTATGAGGATGGAATAATAAGTGTGTTCGTACAGTATTTGTCGGGCGATTTTTTTAAGGACCAGAATTATGAAAGCAAAGTAAAGCATTGTTTAAATGCATTTAAAAATGTACATGCTGAAAAGGAGTGTTTAACGAAAATAATAAACAACAAAATTGAGGAAGCCAATACACACATTTTGAAAATACAAAATTGGGGGCAAAACGGAAAAACAAATTTATACGCAATTCTACAGAATTGTAAAAATGGCATCGATCAGATAAACTACCTCAATGAAATTATTAAAGAGAATTATTATATGGAGGAGGAAATTCGGATGGAAAAATTGAAAGGAGAAAAAAAAACTGGTGATAATAGGAATAGTTATTTCAATGCATGGGAAAAGGACACACACAAATGCAACACTGTACATGTGTACACAGATTTTTATCTTCCCTACGTTAATTTACTAATAAGAAGCAAAATAAACCAGCTGGTGAGGAAGGAAGACATGCTATTTGTCCTAAATTTAATAGGAGAATTTGTGCACGTTGTCCAGAAGAAGATCGATATGAAGGCACACGCAAAAAAAGATGTCCTTTTAAGTTTGTTCAACAGAGAATATGAAGAAATAACTTTCACTTCTATGAACAAACTTATCAACTTGGTGGAACTTTTATTCCAGAAAGGAAATATAAGAAGTGCCATGGAGTACGAGAATTATTATAACTTTCCTACCATTTTTGATATTAAAAATTATGTACAGGCATTTTTTAAAGAACTTTTTACGCACGTTTATTATCCACACATTTTTCGAAAAATCATCGTCTCTTGCAACAATTCGCTCCTTCTCCTGAGTAACAATTTGAATAACTTAAAGCAAAATGTGAATGTGGTCATAGACATGGATACAAAAAATAAATTTGTAACCATCGATTATGTTCCAAAAAATCTGAAATATAATTTGGAGCTTTTCCTTATTAGTAGACAGCTTTTGCGGTACTTAATTTGTGCTTTGGCCAAATTGAAGAGAAAAATTGTGCGGATAAAAATGGATACTTACCGGGGGAGGAGTTTCCGTTATGGGGCGGGAGCGTCAGATGAAGTGTTAGGTGACGTGAATTTTTTTGTGAACAGTTCGGTAGTGCTGGACGATGATGATTCCGCAGGGAAAGATTTAATCACCCTCTCCTTTGACGAATCAGTGGAGGAATTTTTCAACTCACAAGACCATTTAAATAATTACTTCGGAGATGTTGTGCTATCCCCTGATGATGGTGTAAATGACGATTTTATGGAGTGGGAAAATTACGGAGAAAAAAAAGAAAAGAAGGAAAAAAAAAACGCTGAAATGAATATGTCGTTTGAAAGGACGGACCACAAGGAGGACAGTAGCATATCATGTAATGCAGATCAACCCAGTGGCTCCTGTCCAAATGAGACCACACAAACGAACAAGTGTGCTGAAATAAACGTGGCGACTTTCCAAATTAGCCTCTTCAGTGACGCGAAATTTAACTCGTTTCACTCAAACGATTCGTATAACATTAATGATAATGACGGGAATTACGAAATTACTCCCTTTTTCATTAAGGATAAGGAAAACAAAACAAAAAAAAATTATTTCGATTTAATCGAATTAGAAAAAGGATTATGTGAATTGAACAATGTTGTTAATTCTTGTATTTACGAATGCTTTGAGTCATTTGAGAAGAAATCTGTTTGGTACTTTAAAAATAATTGTAGCGCCCTGGGTACACCTGACGTTTTTTCCCTCTTCGACCAGTTATGCGTTTATTTTAACGAAAAAATAGTTCAGTGTGTACCGACATACGAGTGCACGCAGATGATAAAAAACGTGATTAACCGAACTCTCATTTATTTAATTGCTTTATCTTGTTACTACTCAATTAGCGGAATGGACGTGTACCTATTTAGATACTACGAATCACTACAGAAAATTGCAAATGGTGCAACGGAGGCTTCCCTGCATTTCGGTTACAAGTTGTGTATGCTCTTTAAAAAGTCGGTTGATATGAAGGCCGGACGGGAGGCTTACGAAGAGGTGCCGACGTTTTTCCTACCCGTGACGTTTGTGATTTTTCACGGGGGGCGGGCTATCGTAGACAGCATGGGTGAGTTGTGTGACAGTGCCAACGTTGTTAGAGTCACTTCATGAGGGCGTTTTCATCTCATCTGTTCCATTGCGAAAAACTCCGAAAGGAGTCTCCGCCTCCATCAATTATTTTCCTTCCAACGTTTTTCCCTTCCCTTTTAGGTATGACGGACGATAAATTCATCAACCTGCTGATTGACCACTTGAGGAATCCAGTGCAGGCAATGGATGGGAAGGGAAGTAACATCAGCAGTTATAACTTAAACTTTGTGTTGAACAAATTTGCCAAAAGTGTGTTAAAAAAAAATGAACAATCTGTGGAGGGATCGCAACTGGAGGCGGCGATGGATAAGCGATACATCCCCCACATATAAATGCGCGCCCAGGCCCTTTCCTATGTGACCACCCCGATAAGTTAGTACAAGTACGAAAAAAATAACTTTCGGCGATCCTCGTTCTGAAAACCGGATGGCACAAAGTGTTCATCATGCAGAGTTACGACTCGGTCTAGGTTTTCACTTTCGGAGGGCACTTCCACGTATTTATAAAAGGAGTGAATGGCAATGGTCGGAACTTCGTGCATTAGATTTTCCTCATCAGTAACGAGTTTGAAGTTGTTCAAGTGCAAAACTAACTCTTTGGAGTATTGAAAGAAAATGGCGCTAACCTGTAAGTTGGTATTTATTTTTTTGGCTTCCGTGATATAAATTAGCCTATTTTTTATGTACATATTTGCGTTGTCTATTACGACATTTTTCCCGCTTGTAATGATTTGTCTGATCATATCTATGCGTTTATTTTTTGTTTTCAGTTCTTCTAAATTTATGTTAACAAAATCTGCAAAGTAGTTTTTGCAAATGAAGGTTTTTCCGCACCCTGGGGGGCCAACAAGCAGCACCAAATATTGTTCATCCCGCGTCGGCGAGTGTTGCAGATCTGGTCGAACCAAGTGGCGCAAGTCACTTTGAGCGTCCTGTTGCTCCTTTAATTTGTTATCTACATTTTTGAGCAAGCTGGACGGGTTGAAGGAAAACTCTGCTGACAAATTATTTTTTATGTTTAGGAAGAGCTCCTCGGGGGTGTAAAATTTGGCATTTATATTCAGGGCAAACTTAAAATCGGTGTCTGTGTAATCCTTTTTCAACCTCTTCGCAATTTCTCCGATGTCGATGTTGACCTTATTTTGAGCATACACATACTTAAGGTGATTAATAAATTTTGTTTTGAAATTTTCATCATAAATGCGGTTGGCATTATCGCCTACATAAATGATTTCATCAATTCTGGCTTTATTATTTTTCATAGCAAAATTGTACATGCCAATTCTTGGCTTTCTGTACTTGTCATTTTTTAGTGCCAAGTAGCACTCCAAGGGGATGCCTATTTTGTCTATGACGTCATCGACCCGGTTAATTATATTTAGAAGACTTATTTTTCCTGTGCTTACTCCTTTTTGGTTGGAGAAAATAATGATTTTATAATTTTCTGTTTTTTTTTTTTTTAAAAAATCGATTACGTCTGCGTAGAAAATATAATCGTGCTCGTTTTGCGCTGGTTTGAAGAAGGAGCGAGACAGGATTAGGGTGTTGTCCAGGTCGAACGAGAAAACCTTCGTGTAAACTTTGTCTTCCGTGTCTTTGACGATTCGGTACACCAGGCTGTCGTCTACCTGCGGAGGGGGGAACAGGCGTGTTACAAAGCGGTGTGTGACGGAGCGCCAAAATGGAGAGTCCCCTTTTTAATATAAAACTTACCAAGTTCCACTTGTCGTTGGGAAGCTCAAAGTGGGACAGAGGCCTCTTCCTCATTTTTGCCAAGGCGCTTGGTTCTGAAGCAGGTTGGTTGGCCAAGCGAACAGGGGGTGCAGAAGTTGCAGCGACGGTGGCGCTGGTCTGGGTGTTAGCCGTAGTGCTTGTCGAGGCTGGAACGTGGGAATACAAGTAAGTCTCACATTTGAGCGCGTCAACAGTTTGGTCCAAAAAGTAGCCAAGTGAAAGAAGTACTTAGTCGCGCAGCGCCCTTGTGTAAAAAAGGGTGATATTTTTGCGAGGCCGTAAAAAGGGAGCCGTTTATAATTCAATAGCGCTTTCCCCACGCTCTCGTTTAAACAAACGTGTATGTGCATGTTCAGTAATGGATGAGGCGTGTCCTCTCTCCACGTGTAGTGCGCCTTGCACAGAGGTGTACCACATACCGCTATGTGACAAAAAAAAAAAAAAAAAAAAAAAAAAAAAGAAAAATTTGGGAAAAGAATAGAAAAATAAGGAAGGTGCAAAATGGGGTACTATTTTATAAGTGCTAGCGCAAAATAAAAAAAAAAAAAAAAAAAAAAAAAAAAGGGGTAAATTTGGTGGGGTAGGAGGCACAATTTTGACCAGTTAAAATGGAGCGAGAATATATTTTCTCCACTTTTGTGCAAAAGTGATAGCGATGATTGTCACACACTTTTGATGCAGGCGATTGGGGAAAGGAGCCGCTGTGGGGTTGATAAGGAAGAAAAAAAGGGACTCTTCTCTCGTGCGTGGGAATAATAAAATAAGCAGAATAAAGAGCAACTTGAGCGCATACGCATGCTTAGATGTGGTGCCACTAATTTGATAACCATCCTTTGTGAAACCTAAGCAGGGTAAAGTAGGGGCCTCCGTAGAGAATGGCCGCATAAAACTATGATCGTGTGAGGAACCCCTAATTCCCCTCCCCCACTCCATCCCCGAAGAATGTTTAGAATAAGCAGCGTGTTCAACCTACAACGGGCACGCATGAGCACATACCTAAATTATAACAAGTACACTATAAAGAGAAAAACGTACATAGCAGCTGTAGAAAATAAGTACACATATATCGTTCTTCTAAACAATATAAGTCAAGTAGGGGAAAAAGGAGAAATTGTAAAGGTAAAGAGAGGAAGTGCTAGGAACTTAATAAAAGAAAGAAAGGCAGTGTACGCTACGTATGAAAATGTGGACTCTTATGCTGATAAAGAAAAATATAAAAGAACAGAACAGGTGGATATAAAAAAAGGAGCAGAAATAAAAGAAGACTTTGAAAAATATTTTACTCATTTGAAAAATATAAATGTGACTATCTATCTGGATGTGTACAAATACACCAATAATGTCTCCTATGGATTGTACGACTTTTTTAATTACTTATCTTATAATTACCAAGTAGACTTAACTAGCCAAAATTTACATAAAATTAATTATTATAAAAATGAGGAAAACTACAAGAATAATATATATGAACAGATTTACACAGACACGTCTCACTATAACGATTTGATTGTTATGAATAATTTACTTTTTCGGCGTACAGGGATTTATATCATTTATTATGTCCTTTTTATGCCAAATGCCAAGTTTCTTAACGAAATTGTGTTCAGAATTTTTTCCCTGCAGGAATATGAGTAATGGCCAAAAATTGCTGCTCGAAAGGGACATTAGTGTCCAGTGACGTAGCGAGGGGAAAAACACAAATTTGTGTTACGTAAAAATGCCCATGTGGCTTCGTTCCTAACTAAATCACGTCACCCATGTGGGGCATACTAATTGTATAATTATCATTTTCGTGCATGTCTCATTTTGATTGTCCTTTTTCCCCTGCTCAGGCTTCTAAAGGATGAGAAGAAGAACAAGAAGGCCGAAATAGTCTATCGCATAAATTAGCAACTGTGGCGGGGATGATGTGTAGAAGAAAAAAAAGAAATATATTTGGGGGAAAAAAGCGGGACAAATAAATTTGCAGTTTGTTCGGTAACAGTTGTATGTGTGAACTGTCCTTTTGGAAGATGATATACAGGGAAAAAGGAGTTGGGATTTACACATGAGGGTGTGGATGAGGAAATGCCAAGGTAGGTGATAAACACATGCATGTGTGCAAGGGACCAGTACAAAAAAAAAAAAAAAAAAAAAAAAAAAAAAAAAAAGGTGACGAAGGCACAAAACGAAGGTGTAGAATGTACAAAGTAGCCGCTAACACATATTGGCAATGATGGGTGGCCATTTTGTAAAGCGCTTCGAAATGGACCATGCCCCTTTTTTTTTTTCGCATGCGTGTGTAGCAGGACTACTGCCACTACCTCTGGAGGCGTGTGCTTCCCTGCGCTACGCCGAGAGGTCCTCCAAAATGGAGCCCACGTTTTTGAACACCTTCTCATTCTGCTCATTCTTGTGCGGGAGGAGAGAACCCAGTTTGTTCTTCATAAAATCAATGGCGCCATACTTTTTCAAAATTTCGTTAGTCTCTTTAGTATTCATTTCGTGGGATGTGTGGAAGCAGAGAGCAAAGGTGTAGAGCAGTTCGATGTCATTTATCTTGTGTTTAATGGAGTGCAAAACTTCGAACACAGATTTCCTCATGGCTTGATCGTTATTTTCGTTGAGCGTTATAACATAATTGAAAAATATTTTCATACACAATGAGTTAATGTTAAAATTGGTGGACTTCAGCTCTACGAACTGCTTCGCTACGAAGTTAAACTTTTTGTACATGTAAAATCTTGGGGTGGATAAGCTAAACATATTCAAATAAAAGCGAAGGCAACAGAGAAGCAAAGAATCCAGTTTGTTCTCCTCATTTTCTTTCAACATGGACGAATTGGTTATATAATAAGAAACACAATCGTAAACCAGCTTAAAGGCATTGAAGGCGTACTTATTGTTGTATAGAAAATCACAATTTTTATTTAGAACGAGAACCCTAAAGAGGTCAATCACGGGGAATATGTGAGTGGGAGACCAATTGAAAAGTGTCATAATAAGGTTAATATCTGCAGTGTTGAAGTTGTACATATTTTTTATATTCTTTTTGTACAGGTTAATAATGTTTGATAGCGCATTAACCTGTTCATTTGACAGTTTACTTTTCTGCTTTTCTTCACTTGGTTGGAGAGAGTTAAATTCTTGTATTTTTTGGAAAATTTTATCTAGGGCAGCTTTTTCCACAGTGAAAACGTTCAAAACGGTGTTGAATTTTTTCCCACCATAAGGGGTACTACCACTATGAGTAGGAACAGAACTGTTTGTGGCGCCTGTTCCACCTTTGGACGCATAATTTTGGTTAATAAAATCAACGATGGGTTTTATTTGGCTTGCGGAGAGGCCTTCTCTTTTGCAAAACATTTCCGCTATAACGTGCACATTGTCACCTGCGTTGTAGGGAAGTAGTTTTATGTTTCCATAACCTGTGTCGATTGAAACAACTTCATTATAGTAGCCCTGTTGGAACAGATTATCTCCAATGTAAAACTTTTTCTGTGATGTGCTGTCGTCTACTACTTCGCCTATGAGTACCCATTCGCTGTTCTCATATTTGTATGCTTCATATTTTTCTTTATTTTTGAAAATTTTAACTTCTCCTTCCTTTCCTACAACACTTTTTATATTTTCTACATGCATTATATTTTCTGGATTATTTTCCCCACCGATAGAATTTGGGTTTTCTGCATTTGGCTTTTCCTTCTTGCTTCGCTTAGTGCACATTTCGAGTACCTCTTTCATTGCATCTTCCTTCATTTTGTGGTTCCTCTTTTTAGTATAAACCCTAATGTAGCTATCATTACATGCACAGGCAAGGTCCCCATTGCTTACCACTTTGACACTCCACAGTGTGTCCGTTAGGTAAATAGTTTGTAAGCAAGAAGTGTCCTTCCCGTGGCTCACTAATGGAAGTTTATGTAAGATGGCTCCCTTGTCTATGTCATACTTTTCCATTAACTCGTAAATGTCTTTGATGCACCACACTTTAATACTCTTGTCGTCACCACAGCTGTACATAACTTGTTCTTTTTCATTTACGCACACGTAGAAGATAAAGCCTTGGTGACCTCTGTACATTTTTAACAAATTAAAATTGGAGTCATATATATTGATAGTTTCATCATTAGAAAATGTAATGGCATTTTTATTCCCATTAAATAATACTATATCGCGCACACTGTCATTGTGTATATTTTTAATTTCGTCCGTTTTTTCTCCTTCGCCATTCCACACGTTGATTATATTATTTTGTGAAATGGTAAGAATAAATTCGTTCAGGCAATTAACATATGTGGCATATTTATGATTGCTTAAAATTTTTATTATGTTGTATGTGTACTTGTTACCACAGAGGGTGTTTTGTTCTTTATGAGCGTTTCCGCTGCTGGGGGGGAGATTTTCACAGTTTTTACCATCCACAGTCTCGTCTCCAAGTTGGACGATCTGCCACATGATGACTTCCCCATTCCAGTCGGCACTTAGTAAAATATGCTTGTTATATTCAACAATACTTGAGACACTATTTTTATGTCCTTGTAGCATTAATTCTATGTACCCATTTAGGTTGAAGAGGTAAATACCTTTGTCACTCCCTCCGCTGTATACATATAAGTGGTCCTCCACGTTATATGTGCTTTTTTTTAACTCACTTATGCCTACGTATTTACTGTGTGTCATTGCGTAGACGAATCTTTCGTGTACTTCTATTTTTTTGTAAAGCTGGTAATTATCACTCAGATGGAGTGGAAAGGTTTCTACATCGTTGTATGGGTTTTCATCATCGGGGGGGAAATTTTCTCCACTAGTGTTTTCCTCGCAAGTGTTCCTTTTCCACACCATAATTGTCCCAGTCATATCGGCACTAACTATGTAATCAAAGCTGATTTGGCAGTCATTGAATTCGTCCAATTGGGTATTATTAATGATACACATGCACCTTACTCCTTTGGTGTGTCCGGCCAGTACGCCTCTCAGTTCATACTCCTTGTCTGCAACATGGGTTGGGGAAGACGCGATGTTTTAGGCGGAGAGGGGAGTACGTGTAGAGGTGAAATGCGAAGCGATGTGCACACGAATGGGAAAGTGGCACGTGCTAAACACTCGCGCGCATCACACGAACATAGATGTAGGTGGAGAATATTCTTCCACCTTATTTGAACCTACGAACTAACCTTCCATTGTTGCTCAAACGGGGGCGATGTGGATCGGGGATGAGTTAAAACAAAACTAGTTTGCGTTTTATGTGGGCAAACTGATACGGAAGGCATTTAGCCTTTATTTTGGAAAGTTCGGGTAAGGGTATTTTGGGGGGTACCCGACGAGGGGCAGCCGAAAAAAAACACAATGACAAGCTACCGATTATTATATATGTACATATATACATATATTTTTTTTATTTCCCCTTTTAGCCGTTTCTTACAAAAAAAAAAAAATTAATTTCCCATCTGGGGCGTTGAGTGTAGCAGGCTATGGAAAATGTATGCCTAGTCGAGGTTGCCAAGCCAAATGTGTTTGTAGTGGGGGGAAGGGCCGCGCGCAGGTGGAGCGCAGCAAATGAGGTACACTTCCGGAGGTGAAGGTGAACAAAAGTAAAAACTGTGCATATATATATGTACCATCAAATTACAAAATTGGTGCTATGTACATGGAAAGATTTAAAAAAAAAAAAAAAAAGGTGGGTAAAAATATGTTGATAAATGGGGAGAACGTGATGACGCCTGTCAAGGGAGAGAAGAAAAATGCAATGTCGCATAGGGGGATGAAGAAAGCAATGCACACATGCAAGCATGACGACTCTGTGCCTAGAGAATGTATAATACGCACTGTGCGGCAAGCCCCATGGGGGGACCTTTTTGGAGGGAAAATACTTATTTTCCGCACCTCTGGTAAAGGAGCAAAGTTTTAACCTTACAATGGGTAGGTTAGCGAAAAAAAAAAATGTGAAAAAAAATGTTATAGAAAAGTTAAAAAAAAAGTTATAGAAAAGTGAAAAAAAAGTTATAGAAAAGTAAAAAAAAAATAAAAATTCCTTTTGTGAAGCATCTCTCCATGGATTACCTACATCATCATCAATAGGAAATACAAAACGCAGCTGTGCCAGCCTCTTCTTTTTTTCTCCCCTTACAATATTAGTACCCCTGCATATTGTGTTTTTCGACGGTGTTTAAACTGTTGTTTGTATTTTTTCCAACTCCCCTGAAATTAGTGTTCACTGAAGGGGAGAAAGGGCAGCAGCTATTTGTTTGGCCCATCTGTTGTGACACGTGCCTTTCCGAGTAACCCCAATATTAAATTGACAACTTCGGGGAGAGAGCGCAGTGAAATGAATTAATAGCCTATGTTGGTGTATGCAATCATTTATTGTATGCTTTGCCTGCACGTACGTGTAACACCTGCATGTGCAGAGGAACAGGTAGTAAGTGGAATATAAGGTTGGTAAAATTCTTTTGCTACACGAATTATCGCACTGCTTCTTCTGCTCATTTGTGTTTTCCCCGTCTGTGAGAAGCCAACCTTACACTTAAAAAGGAACAAGCAGCCTCGGGAATATCACGAATATCACAAATATTGAGAGTAACCAGATTAACGACAATCGCTACCGTCACGACAACCACGACAGTAGGTTAATGTTTTGTGCAAAAAACAACGCAGTGCTTTCCTTATGGAGAAGAACCTTCTTATTGAATAGGTTGAAAAAAGATGAGCAGGTGTGTTTCAAATGCACATGTATCAGGAATGGTATATGCATAGGGAGAGAAAACAACCCAGACCAAATTACACACAGGGGGGTAAGAAAACGACACATCAGTTCGAAGATTAACAGTGGGTTAGATGAACCGGTGGGGAATGCATCCATCCACACTAGGGGAGTAGGAAGCAGCGAAGGGGATAAGAACGCCCGTAGTAAAGGTGGTCTTCTCGGTAGCTGTGCAATCCGCCCCAATGTAAATGAAAACCAGCACACGATGGATGATGCATGTTCGAGGAGTTACTCAAGAATGAATCGGGAGAAGGACGAAAGAAGCGCTCAGAGTGAAAACCCCAAAGAAGTTCTAACAAAAGAGAGGGATGCCATTTCTGATGAAATTAAAAACACCGAATTGATAAAATGTACAAAGCATATAAGGGGAAAAAAAAGTGTATATAAATTTAAAGAATTTTCCGTCTTCTCATTTAACATTTTGGCGGACAGCTTAGTGGACTACAAGTACGAGAACAACAGTGCCGATGTGATGAGATGGATGAACAGGAAAGAATTCATTTTCCAAAGTATAAAGAAAAAATTGTCAGACATTATATGCCTACAAGAAATAGAAGAGTCTTATTTCACCGAACTGCAGGAAAAGCTGAAGCTATTGAACTATGAAGGATTATTTTTAAAAAAGATAAAAGACACTTGCCAAGATGGAATATGTATTTTTTACAATACTAACGTTTTTAAATTATTATTTTTTGACAAAATTGTTTATGACAAATCTGCTATTTTGAAGAAATGGCACGTAGGGTTAATTGTCGCTTTAAAAAATAAACTTTCGAAGAAGGTGGAATGGTATGATGGAGGTGTAGGTAATGGTGATCGTGATGGTAGTCACCAAATGGCGGGGGACCACCATGTGAGTGGCTCTACTGCCTCTGACCAATCTGTGGACGATATTGTTATCGTTTCCAACACGCACCTCATTTTCGACTCCTGCAAGGGGGATGTCAAGTTATACCAACTGTGCTACATGACGTACCGCTTAGTTGCCATGGTGAACAAGTGCCTGGACTATTTAAGGGCGCGCGGAAAGGGAAACAACACGGAAGACACAGGGGGAAGAAGAAGCAGAGAGGGCTCACCACAAGGGAGAGTCCACCCAACTGATCCCGGCGACCTCCTCAACCCCGCCGTAATTTTCTGTGGAGACCTGAACATAACCCCCAACAGCATTCTCTACTACTACATAGTTAACAGGTACATAAATTTGAAAAAGATAAACATGAAAAAAATTTCAGGGCAGTACCTCATGTTCAAGAAGCAGTTCTATGTGTGTAGCTACGAGAAAGGAAGTGAAATTAAAAAAATATTTGACGAGAATATTCTCAGTGATTTAAAATACGAGCATTACAACAGTATTATGGACAATATGAAAAGGGAGTCGTTATTTTCTTTTTTTAAAAATGAAAAAATACTGGACGAGGAGTACTTAACGAGCCACTGTTTTCACCAAGAGAGTGATGCATATTTGAGGAACTACAATTCATATGAATATGTGATGAGCAAGTTTAAGGAAGGCAAGAATGACTGTCTTTCTTATTGTGGGCACTCCGGGAGGAGGTGTAATACACTTTCGGGTAGCGAAGTGGTGAGCAATGAAGACAAATGCGATGAAAAGTTCGGGCTGGTGTCTAGGGAGAAGGAACATCCACGCTTGAGTTTTAATGAGATGGACTATGAGGACGGCGACAAAGATGACGAGGATCAGCGCCATCCCCACAAGAAAGCAAAAACAGCAACTGATCAGCATGAAGACGATTTCATACTGTACTACCCCCTGTATTTTGAAAGTATATACAATAGTGTGGAAGAGCACCGGGTGGAAAAGCCCTGCCAAAAATATGATCATATTGACAACCTGAATGACGAGGAAAATAATTTACCGCTAAGTGGTGTTCCATTCACCGTGTTTCATGGGAAGCAAAAAGGGTGTGTCGATTATATATTTTACACGTATAGGACTCTTAAGGTAAGTGCAAGGGGGGAGGGAGGTCTAAACCGTTAAGGATAATGCCCCCGTTGGGAGAGACACTCAATTTGTGGGCGCTTCATTAGGATGAGAAGCGTGTAGTACCCCATATGCCATAGTGGTACACCTGAATCATAGATACATGTGTCTTTTGCACCCCTCCATTCTCATGCAGAAAATATCCTGTTCAACCTTCCCATCATTCGAGGAACTTGTAAAACATGGTTGTCTGCCAAATGAGGTGAGCAATTTGAGCAACAAGAAAGAAAAAAACTGTTTAGTTACGTCCCCCTTGTTTCGTGTGCACTATTTTTCACCCACACCCACACCCATCCTCCCTTTTGTTTCTCCACCCCTCAGAAATACGCCTCGTCTGACCATTTGTATTTGCACGCTACTCTAATTAGAAGGACAAATGATGAGGATTAGACACGTCGCAGCATGAATAGCTTTATCGTTCGTGATCCCCTCGTACACTTGCAGAGTATGTTCTGTGTTTATTTATTAATGTATTTATAGAGTATATATATATACATATATTTTTTTTTAAATAGCCCAAATGATGTTCCCTTTGCTTTTTTTAATTAAGATTATGCCATCTTTAATTTTTTTTTTTTTTTTTTTTTTATGAAAAGTTATTTGTCCTTTATTCCGTTTTTGCAAATGCGCAGACGTGTATGTACAAGTTTAACTTTTGATTTTCCCCGCTTATAATAACTAGGTTTGTTTTTATTTTAAAAAATTGTTTGTGCCTTTTTAACTGAGCTTGTGCAAATGGGACTGTAGGTATATGGCTGTGTAGCGGAGCGATTTTGCAATCAATCATTGGGCAGACGCGCCTTTTCATGCAAAAGGGAGAAGACTGTGTAATGTTTCTGTTGATTTGCTTTTTTGTGGCGTTCCAACTTATCCCACTCCCTGCGGCCACTGCAGCGCATTTAGCTTTTTTTCGTTTAAATGGGATAACAAATGAATGACTTTGTTTGATACACCAAGTTGGTAAAAATGACGTGCAATAAATGTGGGCAGCATGACTTCATAAAAAAAGAAGAACAAAAAGGAGGAGAAGCAAAGGGCTTATTCATTTACAGGGGCCACACATGGATTCCCCCCCCCCCCCCCCAATTCAGCACACCCGATTAGTTGCATACCGTGCATGCCAATTTGCGGCCTTGCTTATATATAGATAACATTGATTGGTTGTAGAAATAAATCTTGCACTTGGTACGGTATGCAACGGTATAATTGTATGTAGATTCGATGATCACACGATGAGAGTTATACGCAAGTGTACCATATGCAGCGTTGCAACGGTTTGCACATCTGTATAACACTACTGAGGTGGATGAGAAATGCCCTTATATCAGCGTTCTTCTGGTTTTTGTTTCACAAATATGAGGAATTATTTTGGGGAAATCCATCTCCATGAGGATTAAGATTGAACAAATTGAGGGTATCCACTTGTTTCATTCATTTTAGCACAAACTTAGGACATATTTCTAAATGACACACAAAAAAAAAAAAAAACTTTGTAGAGCAGGGATCCCTTTTGGCTAAGTGATATTCCCCATTTTTCATTTGGGGGAGCAGAATGATAAATTGCCATGGTTGTACTTCCTACCTCGCCTTCATTAAATATTCTTGAAGTTTCTGTTCATACCTTTGCATGTATAACAAATTAGCATACTCTAAATCGACTGTGTGAGAAAAATAGAAAAATTCTTCAACCGGTTTTTTTTTGTATAGCTGCAGCGGCTTGAATATTCTTTTATCAATCAATTTGATATGAGCAGGGGGAGCGGAGTGGGTGGTTAGCTCTGTACCCTGTTGATCATTTGAATCAGCGTCCTCATTTTCATTAGCATCCAATTGGGTGTGTTTCCCTATTCCATCTTCATATTGCATAGCCTGTACGTCAGCACACGCTGTTCCATCAAGTGGCGTGCCATCTTTATGAGCATTATCCAAGGGTATCCGCACATCTTGTCTTTTTTCCTCCTTTCTATTCTCCCTCAAGATAACAAAGTTGTTTGAGTGGAAAGTCGTATGGTATGTGTACGAGGGGGGGATGGTTTTAATAAAATCGTGAAGCATAGATGTAAGGTTGTTAATATTATCATATATCATGTTGGACAAGATAATAATTTCGTTCTGTTCGTCATTCAAATTGGAGAACATTGAATCTTCCTTCGCTTCATAATTGTTTAGTGGGTCCAGCTGGGCTAAAACATTTTCTAGGTTTCTTAAAATTTCTTCCAATTTGTTGCCTACTGTGTCCAGCACGTCACAATTCTGCGTCAACACATTTTCGTTTCTCATTTTAAGCAGGCGGTTAGAAGTCAACGAGGAATCAATGAGGGGGTACTCAGTTAGTACCCTAAAAAGGGTAATGAAAAAAGGGAGCTACAAAATGGGCACTTATCAACACGGTGATAGTGGCCCCACTGTGTCATAAAAGAATTTGAAGTAACAGAAGTGAAAAGTGTTCCTTGAGCACATTCATTTTGGAAAAAAAAAAAAAAAGGAGGCCAGATATTATGCGGGGAAGTCGAACTGGGAAAAACAGAGTCGTCAATAATACAGATGTACGACAAGGGGGAACGGCAAAACGGAGAAAGGAGGAACGATGTTGGGAGTGGCGGTCAAAAGAAGCATTTAAAAAAGTGCACATCGCGCATGCATGTAGGCATGGGTGCCTCTATGTATGAATACATTCGTGTACACTTTTGCCTTGTTTGTGAATTAAACTGTGTGAGGCGCTGCCCATTAGAAATCTTGCACTTGATGAATAGGGCACTAACTACTGATCGTAGTGTGCTCGCAATTTTAAGAAATAAAAAAAATAAATAATACATATTATAAAGCCATTTTGGAGAAGTGCCAAATGTAACCGACCTTGGCCCGCTTAAGTGAAGCGGGGCAAAGGGCCATATTTAGGAAGGTCTCAAGTGTGAGTCACTTGTGTGGGGAACAGAGAAATAACGTGGGGTACCCTAAAGAGTGCCGGAGTGATCGGAGCATACACCATTTAATTAATAGCTCAAATTACCCTGCAACGCAACGAACGATGCTATAATGAGCTGTGTGGGCGTCGGGAGGTAAAAGAAGACCCCGCGTGGAAAACTCAGCTAAGGGGGAAGTGCATATTTGTTCACAGCCTAAGAGGGGAGATCTCTACCTTCCTCGTCGCCCTAGCCCTTTCAGGAAACACCAAAAATGAGGAGATTCACTTTGGTAATAATGTTCACAGTGATTGTTACAATGACGTGCACATATTCGGTGAAGAGGGCGTGCCCCAGGCAAAGTCTCCACATTTGGGGGAAGAACAAAAAGGAGAAGAGAAAGAAGAAATGCTATTTTGTGAGATATTCCCAAGCACAGGACCATGTAAGAAGTAGGATACTAAGGAGGAACGAAAATGTGCATGTGAGGATCTACGGAAAAGACCACAGAAACCCACACCTGGCATACGAATATGTAAATAAAATAATTGAGAACAAAAAATACGAAGTGAGCAAACTTTTGGAAGAAAATTTTGAGGAAGACAACCCTCTACAAATAAGACTGAAATATTTGCAACACACGATGAATAATAAATTGTCGGAGAGTCTGAAGAGGACAAGTCCAGATGAGAAGCACAGGTTGTCCATGGTGGCTGATATGAAGAGAAAAATATTTTGCAGTGTCGCTAGAAAGGACGAAGCAGGTCACCCCACAGTAGATGAAGAGATAAGCGAAGAAGGAATTTACCAAACGGAGGAAAGCATTGAAAAAAATACCGAAAAGAAGAGACGCATTTGGAAGGACGAAAATTACATGTATCAAAATAATTTTCTGAACTTAGCAAACCCAGGCAATGTAAGTCTGATGCTGCACGAAATAGGGTTCGACGTGTTAATAGTAAACATTGATAATTTATCCACTCAGGGGAATTTAAACGATTTATATGATGTGGTTAAGAGCTCGAGAAAGTTTCCCCGAAATGTGCGTCCCGCAGTAGTGGTGGACGATGTGATTATTCACCCCATCCAAATTGCCCTTGCGGTGGAGAACAAGGCAGATGGGGTTATTTTAAATTTGCCTTATTTAAAAAATGACCTAGAAGATATGTTAAACTATTGTGTTAACTTAGGCACCCAAGCAATTGTAGAGGTGCACGATTACAATGATATTTACTTTGCCACTCAATGCGGCAGCTACATATTAATGATAAACGAATTTAATTTTCTGAATAATCAATATGAGTATAATCATGCGATAAAAGCCATCAGCTACGCCATCCCTGAGTTAATTACCATTGCGAAAATTAATGTGGATGATTTTAATTATGCACACAAGTTAGGCAGTCTAGGTTATGACAGCATATGTTTAGAAAAAAAACTTGTAGATAGCGATTTGCCTAATTTTGTGCAAGCTTGTAAGAGTTGGAATGCCCCTCATAAAACACTGCTCTATATGAATAGGAATAATTATTTGAAAAATTTTCTAACTTATACGAATAACCCATCGGAGGAGACACATAAAGACATTACGGATAATTTGAAGAAAATTTACGACGATAAGAATTTGAAGAATACGACTTCCCACGAGCTTTTAAAAAATTACGAAAAGGATTTTATCGATTCGGTAGAGGAGGGAGCACCTGGGCAGTCCAACTCTCCACAATGCACACAAGAGGGGAGGACAGACCCACTTCGAAAGGAAGATACACCAAATGGTAATAGACCCCTAGTGGAAGGAGAGAAACCAAAGGATAACCTCCTAACGAGTGACGAAAAGAAAATCGTGCAAAATTTTAAGAGAGAAAAAAAAAGAGAGCTATACCTTCTGAACCAAATGAAAGACATCATAAGGCAAGTGGATGATCAGTGCAAAAATTATGATTCCTTTTCTGAAGAAGAAAATAAAAAGAAAGAAGAAAAATTGGAAACCCTTTTGGAAAATTTTACCAAAATGGATAAAAATTTTTTAAGAGGATTTTTTTCAGATGAAGAAATTAAGAACATAGAGAATAGCATTAGGAAGTCCGTGCAGCAAAAGGAGAAAATCGAAAAGGGGGAAATAAACATTGACGAGAATAATGTGGCTAGGGACATTTATGGCATTCCTACTAGCCAGGGGGAAGACTTTGACATTTCGAAAATGACCAAGGAGTTTTTTGACAACGATTCCGGTGGGGGAAAAAAGTTGGATGAGGGTTCACAGAAATTAGGAGGTGGTTCCACGGGCGATTCCTCAGATGGGGAATCTTCCAGGGGTGTGGACTCGCAGTAGTTGCAGGTTTATGTTTGTCCTGTTTAGGCGTGAGGACATTACTTCGATTAAGTGTACCTTTTTTTTTTCTTTTTTTGTCTTACACTTGGTGTTTGATTGCTCAGGAGGGCGTTTTATCCTGCCTCTTGTGCAGTGCGAGTGGAAAGCACGTCCACTGGGTGGATACATACTTGTTTGTTCTTCAACAGTTTGTTTGTCCCTTTTATGGGGTCTGAATTTTTTTTTTTTTTTTTTAAGCACTTTGTTTTGCTTAATTTAATGACACCCTTCGCCACGTCGAATCCATTAAGACACACATGTTTCCTCCTGACTAAAAAGTGAAAGCATCACAAGTGGGAAATGCTCGAATGCGTGGGGGAATTCCAGCGAGCGTACACTTTAGCCATCCCACTTTTTTACGCCGGCACGAATTATACACACAACGGTGGAGTAATCCGTGGGCACTGTTTCCGCCTTGTGAGGTGCGGGCGGGGAAAAAAAAAAATTGCAATCATGTAGAAGAAAAAAAAATAAGATGTTATCCCCCCCAAGTGCGCACGCATGTACATAATTATGCCCTTTTTCTGCAAAGCAAAAAGGTGTATAAGACAAAGAGTAAAAGAAAAAAAAAAAAAAAAATGAGGCATATACATTTGTACATTTTACCCATACATGCGTGTACGCATTGTAGGCGTAGTCTTGATTGGTCAAATTAAAACAAAAAAGGAGTGTAAAAAAAAATAGGAAGAAAAAAAAAAAAAAAAAAAAAAAAAAAAAAAAAAAAAAAAAAACGGGTGTGCATCACCAAAGGGTAACTATGAGGCATATCTACATTGTTATAATATTAATTGTGCAGCTAACAGTGTGGACAGAATGCAGGTTCAAGTACGCGAGTAATACGGAGTTACTGGCGGAGAGGGTTAAGAGGGGTCAACAGGCCATGGAGGAAATTTTGAGGGCGAAGAAAAAGGCTGAGGTGGAGTACGAAGAAAAGAGAAAAAAGAGTAGAAAACGGAAAGGCACAAAAAGTGGACGCGATGGAAGAGTTACAAACGGTGTCGAATATGATCAAGGCGATCAGGACGGAGATGACGATCAGGACGACAACATATATGTAAAGGAAATAAAATGTTACGAGTACGTACTGAATCAGTTAAACAGCCTAAACGTATACAACTGCAACGAAATAAATGAAAATAATAAATCCATGCTAGCCTTGGCCAAAACCAAGTGTCTTTTTGTAAAATCGGTGAGAAGTTTTCCAGACGAAAAATCGGGCTGCATATTAAACCCAAAGAAATTGAATAAACTACAAATATATCTCTACAACAACAATTTGTTTGACCAATTTAGAAATGAGAATTTTTCGAAAATGTTAAGCCTAGATGAGTTGAGGAAGATAGAAAAAACGAAAAATCCATGCCTCGGTGATGGTGCAAGTGAGGAGGGAATATATGAGGCTATCTCGAGTGACGATTTTTTGTCGAGCGTTCAGAAGCACACTATGTATCCTGGTGATGACACAATAACTCCAGAGAACAACCCACCACATGACCATAACGACTTGGAAAAAATGTTATGCGAAAATTTAAAATACAAAATTGTAACGAATTGCACAACCAGTGATAGCATGTCTGATACTGCCTTTCAGATTTATCACTCCGAGTTAAACCACATCGACGACATTTGCTTCTACATACAGTCGTCTGAGTGGAATAGGCGAACGGACGCAAATGTACGTGTGTGTTAAAAAAGCCCATCAGTGTGCAGATAGACTTACAAACGGCTAAATGAATGGGCTCACATGCGTGTCTACATAAGTGTGTGCTGTTATATTTACGCGCTCATACATATGCATATGGTCACGTGCCATTTACTCCCCCCTTTGCATGCGCCACACGCGGATCCCAAACGGATAGATTAACCGACTAGCGGAGACTTCTGTAAACATCACCAGGCAGATGACCACCAATTTGGAGAACATGAAGTTAATAGAGCACGCGCAGGTGAAGCAGATCGAAAATACGAATAGGTAACCAATCCAGGGTTGCATGAAAGGAAAGTGCGCATCGGAGGGGACAACACGTGTGTTTGTCCTGTTTGCCCTTTTTGTGTGGTTCCACTTTCGTGAAATGTGATCCGTTTCAGTGTAACCTACTGCAGTGACCTGCTCCAGTTGGTTTCACTTACTGCACACCCCCCATACCCCTTTCACCCACGCAGATTCGACAACTTTTTAAAAGGCCTCAAGCATGACTTCAGCGAGGTTATACAAATTTTATTAAAAATAAAGAAGCACCATGAGTCTATTACTAGTAAACAAAAACGCAGCAATAAAAAGAAGTTCGCCCCTTTTTTGTAAAGGAAATCACAATTTTACGATGGTAATTTGTTTTTTTTTTTTTTTTTTTTTTTTTTTTGTCCTTCTAAACCATTTGCAGAATTTGTAACGGCTTTTAAGATGCTCACGATGTACCTGTTGGTACTGCTCCTTGTTCTGTTCATTACTTCTCGCAGTTATGCGTCAAATAGCCGAAGAAAAATTATGTCTTGTAAGGGAAAGAAGTAGAGGCACTCTCGTTTTGTGCTTGCAATAGTAGAAGACGCACTGCATGTGTGTTGCAAGTCCACATTGTAATATGCATAAGCGTGCTTGGTTACCTACTCCCATGCGCCTGTCTAATATACAATGTCCCATTGATCCTATCCCACCATGTCAGGCGTTCTCTTTTGCTGTTTAACCGAAGTGGCCTTCAAAAGGATCATTGTGCTGATCAGGAATTATGCGTTCCTAAGCGTTAACGACAACTTAGTCAGCCACTCAGTGAAGGGGATCCGATACGTAAAAAAGAGGGAAAATTAAATAATAAAGAAAAACGTGAAAATGAACAAATGAAATAGGGGCACACATTTTCCAACGCAAACTGAGATGCAAACCAATGCTCGCTCTTTTTGTTTTCCGAAATCGCCTGATAGTGTAACCATTTCTCTCATATTATATTAGCTGAAACGATTTTTTTTTTTCCCCCTGCCTTCGCTTCAATCCTTTTAGACATTCGTTTTAATTGGAATAAAAGTATTAATCTGCGCCATAGTAACGTAAAAAGGAAAATTTTTTCATTTAAGTATTATCTTGTCGTGAGGGGCATAGCCGAAGTGCAAAACGTGTCTTGAACTGTTTGCTTTCCAATTTTTCATTTGCCTCCTGACCTTCCTACCCCTTTCACAGTTACAAGGAACCAGTGAAAATCATCGAGGAAGAACTGAAGTGCATAAAAAAACTGGTGGAAAAAAATGAACAATATCGAAACAGCTTTAGAGACATCAAAAGGCAAAACGAAAAAATAGATAACAGTGTAGACCAAGAAACGGGTAAGACGACATGTTAAGAGGGAAAAAAAAAAAAAATACTCAGAAAAATTCTTAACGGTACATAATTTTTTTTTATAACATTCATTTTAAGGCATTAAAAAGGAAGAGCCAGTCTGTTTCGAAGCAATTCCAAGTTTGCCATTTCTTTTTTTTTTTTTTTTTTTGTAACTGTCTCTCAGTTAATGTCCTAAACTTGTGGCTAAATTATAATGATTATCTTGATTCATTATACCTGGAGGATGAAGATTTCGCAATAAGTAGGGATAGTTTGCATTTAGAGAGAACATTTTAGCGTCCCTCCTTTGTGCAATAATGTTAAAATGTAGAGGTGTACATATCTTCATGTGTTTGAATGAATGCCTCATTCAATGCACCCCAATGGATCTGAAACAATTGTAGGTTCCCATAGCGATACGGAAATTAACAGCTCAGACACGTCTCTGGCTAGCGAGGAGATGCTACCCCAGGAAATTGAGGAGTAACAAAGAATAAAATGACTAAATGATGGGGGCACATAACAATTTGAAGCGAATTAATGTGGAAAGGGAAACGCGAAGAAGACAATGCTACTATGACCCACCCATTCATTTTTTTTCATCCGTGCCCTGTTTTCTACTCAGGTTAAAGGAAGACCCCATCGGAATGAGAATAAAATCAATGCACAGAAAAAAGCGGCCCCTGTTTTTCCACTACTTCCCATCCCCAACGAACGTTAAGGCGTACACAGAGAGCCCCATATCGTTTGGTAAGAGGAGCAGTAATGGTGTGTTCACAAAAAAGTGGATGTGCATAGGCAAGAACGATATGATATAAAATGGCCTGAATAGGGAAAGGACTAAAATGGACATGTACCCTTCCACGCCCCCCCTGTTCTTCACCTTTTTGCACTACAGCGAATATCGTAGAGCACAATCACAACGAAATGATGCGCCTGCGGGAGGACAGAATGAGGGATTTTGTAATAAACAAAAAAAAAAAAAAAATAAATAAATAAATAATCGAAGAAAATACATGCATGATTTGAAGATATGTCCCTTTGTTTATTCCACCAGAGGGGCAACGGTAGGGATACAATACATTTAGCAATTGTGCCACATGGCGAACTCATCATTTGCCATTTTGCTAGGACAACGAAGAACGGGAGAACAATCACGTGTATGATCATATGGATGAGCTGACGGAAGACGTCAACAATAAAACTGAACTCCTAGAGAGTGATAAAGAAAATGAGACTTTAAATTTATACGATTTAGCAGAAGACAACGCGAAGGTACATAAGTTTTTCTCCTTGGATGGTATCTAAATTTTCCCCATGGGAGTACGTTTTGAAAACTTCGGCCATATGGCTGCAGTATGTTGTTCGGTGGATGTATTAACAAAGCCAGGACAACGCGAAATGCATATACATATGGTAGCAAAGGGTGCAAACATACTGTGCTCATGAAGTGTTACAAGCACCCGTAGATGCTTTCCATATCTACGAACAAATTCGTTTTTCAATTGAATTATTAAATTACGGGACGCACTCTTAAAACCAATATTTGGACATAAAGAGTAGAGCCCCCTCAATTGTAATGATAGCACACGTAAATCTTTCTTGTAGCTCATTTAATATGTTTTTATTTATTTATTTATTTTTTTTTTTTTTC